TAATTTAATTTAATTTAATTTAATTTAATTTAATTTAATTTAATTTATTTATTTATTTTGTATACCGCCCTTCTCCAACAGGACTCAGGGCAGTGAACAACCACGGTAAAACACAACACATAAAATTTAAAAGCAGTTTAAAAGACATTAAATAATTTTGGCCATCAATTTAAAACAACCCAGTTAAAACCAATTACAAATTAAAACCGCAAGGATGGGATCAAGCCAGCCCGGCTAGATGAAATAGATGTGTTTTCAGGGCCCGACGAAAAGTCCGGAGGTCTGGTATCGTGCGTATCTCTGGGGGTAGGTCGTTCCAGAGGGCAGGTGCCACCACAGAGAAGGCCCTCCCCCTGAGGGTCGCCAGCCGACAATGTCTGGCCGACGGCACCCTGAGGAGGCCCTCTCTGTGCGAGCGAACTGGCCGGTGGGAGGCTATTGGTGGCAGAAGGCGGTCTCGTATCATTCTCTCTCTAACCCACTTCACAGGGTTGATGATGGTGGGGAAAATAGGAAGGAGTATTAGGTACATTCACCACTTTGAGTTATTTATAAACAATAATAAAGATGGGATAAAAAATAAAATAAATTAAAAAATAAAAAGATGTCAGAATGTGGACATAGGAAAAAGATTATTTGCAAAGATAGAAAGGTATAAAGATACACTGTGAATGTGCTGAGATAAACTAGATGAAATAAGAGTAGATATTTCTTTTCAGTCATTGTCTGCCTTTAATCTCTTTAAATCTGTTTACTGCTTTTTAGTCTTTTCTGCATTTTGCACACAGCACTTTCCCTGAAAGGTAATAATGTTATGGGTACGTATCTAAGCATATTCTTTGATAAAATATGTAAAAGAGCTTTTATGAAGTCTGTATTTCGTGTACTCTTTTGAAGTTATTTTTTATCTAATAGTCACTACATGTTTAAATTATTTCCTTCACAATTAAATGAGGACTTATTCCAACCCATCATATTATCAGCTGGAAAATCATGCAGAGATCTGTTCAGTCTGATAAGTCATTTATTTTCCAGCATATTTGTCTTTCACTGATAGCTGAAAACTCCCTTGGATGCACTGTTTACTAAAGTGGATAGGATTTTAATATAGGAGTTACAAAAATATCTGAGCCAATAATATCCAACATTTCATAACGAACAATTCTGACAGTCAAGATCCTAGTCTGATCAGCTAATTGCTGGATATAATGCCAATAGTGCAATCACAGTTCAAGAGCTCTTAAACCAAAACAGGCAGCACAAAAAACTAGTAAAGTAAAAAAAATTCCCATGGGAAAAGGCTGGAATCCATTTATTCAGGCAGTTAAGAATAATTTAAAAATTCTGGTTTTTGGCATAGTACTGCCATTAGCAGTAATGCATCTCAGTGGGAGAGTGCTATCCCCAGAACACAAGGAATGACATTTTAATGGAGATATGTCTAACTAACTTGTCTATTGTAATATGGAAGTCCTCTTTCAATGGTCATCCATGAAAGGAAGATTATGGATTTGATCTTTCATCTAAAATTAGAGAAGACTTTAGAGATAACTAAATCACTCCAGAACTAATTAAAAAGTACTATAAATACTGAGTACTCTTGGGAATAGCAGAGCATAACGTAAAACAATAAATTAAAAGATTCTCCAATCTTTCCTTATCAAAAAGCAGGAAGTACAGATTGATAGTCAAATGTGCTACAAAAGTTTTCGTCTTTGCTCACAGAAGAGTCTTTACTTTGGGCTCACTGTAGTGTTTTCCTTCTTATTGTTAAAATAACTTCGCCGCTTGGAATGCTGATGCCTCTATGCCATGGTGATGAAGAAGTTGAGGCAACTGAGCTGTGCTGTAGTGACACTTCTACAGAGATACTTGCACTGCTTTTATTTTTTCAATTCTGACTACAGGCTGCTCAAGTAAATGGTATTTGCTTTTCTTATTTTGTGACAGCAATTCTTCTATAAAATACAGTATTGTAAAATTTTGTGCAGTAGCACATAAGAGTTGCAAAGTACCATTAGATAATAAACCCTTTTTATTTTGTTGCCATTCTTGCTGCTGTTACTTTCAATCAGTCTTGATTCCTTGCAATTCTTGGCAGATCCATGCAAGTTTTTTTTGGCAACATTTTCAGAAGTTGCCACTGTCCTTTTCCTAGGGCTGAGAAAGAGTTGCAAAGGGGACACTTTGAAATGGAGCGATTAGCTCATTTCTCCGTCCGGGCGAAAAGTGCTTGGTCATCTATGTGGTGCTTGGGAATGAAGCAAATTTGCTCTGTTCGCAAGCAACCCATAGGTGAACAAACACTTTTTGCTTGGATGGAAAAATGATGGAGACTCAAAGCTTTGTATGCTTGCAAAGGGAATGGTTTGAAACGGAGCTCCATTTCAAAATGTTCCCTTTGGAAGCACACAAAGCTTTGTCTCCCTCTGGGTGAAAAGTGCGCAGCAGAGCCAGGCAGAGGAGATCCCAATGTGCTGCCCACTCCATCCCACAATCTCTTGGCTTGCCTACGGCTGCACCAAGCAGGCACATGTGCAGGGCTTCAGGATCACCAGCCTCTCCCATCCCCCATGCCTCTGCCTGCTGCTAATGCACAAGCCTCCCGCAAGCCTCCAGTGAGTCAGGCAGCCACACAGTATGATGAACACCATTGGCCCCGCACTATCATTGACTCTCATGCTGTCCACGCCCATCCCCCAAGCTTATTTTCGGGGTTGGGCTTATATTAGGCCCACCCCAAAAAAATCAAGCTAGGGCTTGTTTTCGGGGTGGGTCTTATTTTCAGGGAAACACAGTACTTTCATCAAGTCAGTATCATATTATCATCCCCTTTCCTCAAAAAACTAAGGATATATTTTATTTAAACTACATGCTACCTGTGAGTTCAATTGGCTTTTAAAGTTGCAGTGTTCATAAAGTAAAACCCTCATTTGTCATCTATTATCCATTTACAAGAATGATGGGAAGCCTAGGATAGTGGTAATGCTTACCCATACCAGAAACGAGGATCATTGGAAATGCAGTGGTTGAGATTTCGCTGAGCCAAAGCCTTTTTTTTATTTAAAACAAACTCTTGCAATTTCATTTTTACTTCTGTACTTGCCACTGCACCTAAAATACCAAACCGAAAGAAAATAGATATAACTACATAAAATTGATGAATTAAGTCTCAAAGAGTTATCTGAAATTTTTAACCTTTCCAATATTAATATCAACAATATCAACAATATTTTTATAATGTGAAATGGGTACAGAATTAGAACCAGTACTTGAAAATAGATAATTATGTTTATCTTCTTCCTATAAGCAGAAGATCAGTTAAGTAAGATTTCAGGAATAAAATTATTCAGCACTTACAGAAGTTATTTAGCTTTTGTTTAAGTAAGCATTCATAAAATGGAGGATTTCTACATATTGATTTTTTTGTCACATCAGCTTATGTACAGAAAAAAATCTGTCTTAAAAATAGTTCATTTTCCTTCATTTTATTTGAGCAATTCTATATAATTATTATTATATAAATAATTTGGTTTATTAAATAGAAAACATGGCATGTAAAGCAGGAATGAATTTTGAGTTCTCTCTTTTGCTATATTTCTGATTTAGAAACATAATTTTCTGTATTCCTGTAAGCGTCCCTGTGATCGGTCGGAAAGGTAAACAACCATGGGGGAGCTGCAGCCACCCCATGTTTGAAGAGGTTCATATGTAGCTTTTGGAAGGGGATGGGTCTGTTGCATCTTTGAAAGGCCATTAAGTGACCGATTGTATATAGAAGACTATATGTAAATATCTCTAAGAATTTTAATCATCTATCCAAAATGTGCAATTTCCAGCCTTTCTCAATCACCAGAGTCCCAGAAATCTACCATGCATATGATTCTGTAATGCCTACATAAAAATTAAGTTAGTAGCAGAATGTTTGTCAATTATGAACATTCAATGTTGCAGAATGCAAAAGTTAGAAGGTCTGTTCCTATATTTCTTACAAATATCCATAATATTGGAATGACAGTTGAAACTGCAAAGTTTGATTTTTTTATTTTTTTTTAATTTGATTTATATGCCGCCCTTCTCCGGAGACTCAGGGCAGCTTACAATGGGCTAAGCAATAGCCTTCATACTTTTGTATAGTTATACAAAGTCAGCTTATTGCCCCCACAAACTGGGTCCTCAATTTACCTACCTTAGAAAGGATGGAAGGCTGAGTCAACCTTGAGCCTGGCGAGATTCGAACCTGCAGTAATTGCAGGCAGCTGTTCTTAATAACAGGGTGCTTTAGACCACTGTACTACCAAGGCTCTTTGATTGACTTGGTAACACAAAGTGGTGGCTTTTAAATACATGAATGAAATTGAAAACATGGTTGATCATCTGCAACACATTTAAGGTGTGAGGTTCTGTCAATATGCACAGCATTCAGTCCAACTGCCCTTATCAAACTAGAAAAGGCAAGAACAATATCCCCTCAGAGCTGGTGTCTTACAGCAATAGGTAAAAGGGACCTATAAAGTATGGGAACAAAGCTAAACAAAAATGATAAAATATTGAAAGTAATGAAGGAAATCCGATAAAGTATCATAATCCTCGCAATGTTTTCACTGTGATTTATTATTTATTGTATGGACTATTCACATCATATTTTAACAAAAAAGAACAGAGTAAAATACAAAACATAGAATATAAAATCTGAAATCTTAATAGGAAGATTACAAATATCTAAGTTGCAAATATATTTTTTTATTTATATTTATTTGTTGCAACCAAGAAATCAGCAGAATCTCCATTCACAGCAGAAAACTTTTTAAGTTCTTCTCAATAGAAATAGAACTAGAATAACATAGTTGGAAGGGACGTTAGAGATCTTCTAGTCCAACCCCCTGCTTAGACATGAAACCCTACACCACTTCAGACAAATGGTTATCCAATCTCTTCTTAAAAACTTCCAGTGTTGGAGCATTTACAACTTCTGGAGGCAAGTTGTTCCACTGATTAATTGTTCTGTCAGGAAATTTCTTCTTAGTTCTAAGTTCCATTTTAAGTTCTCAATGAACTTTAAGCAGTCAATGAAATACAAGGTTTTTTTTTGATATTTTTGTTGTAGAGAAATATGTCTATTACATAACCATAATACCTAGCATGCTTTTACTTACTTTCTTTTCCTTTCTCTTTGTTTTTAAGCTGCTGGAGCTTCTGTTCCCTGTGTTGTTTCTCCAACTCTTGCTCCTGCCGATGCTGTTCTAATTTTCTCTGGTGTTCCAATAGTTCCTGTTGATGTTTCATTGCTAAAATCTCCTGCTGCTGCTGTTAAGCCAAGAAAATAGAGGGAAGGTAAAAATGAACACGATCCTTAACCACTCAAGTACTTAAAATGTCATCTTACTACCTGTAAAAATAAAGCATTTTAAATCAAGGACAAAATTACCTTCTAAATAAGAAACCAAGGGAGAAAATGAAGAAAAGATAATATCACACCATAGATTCTGGCAAGCATACTAAACAGTATTTTGCAACATAATTCTGTATCATAAATTGTTTTTTAAAAAATCACCATAATTTAAAAATTCCATAACTTCTACAAAACAGAAGCAGAATTATAGTATTCAACTTTGCAATAAGGGCAAATATCTGTAGCTCAGGTGTATAATGAGGGTGAAGGTTCCTTCTCCGAGGTTGTGGGTTAGTTTCCGAATGTTACCATGCTAGGTATCATCTTCAGCAGAGTTTGGGGGATATCAGTGTCAGTCTTCTTCTGTTTATAAGGGCTTCAGGTGTGAGTGCATCAAGTGAGAGTCTTCTGATGGGTCAGCTGTGAGTCATCAGTGAGACTTGTGATGGGTCTTGTGATAAGGAGACTACATCAGTTTAAGGCAGTGGTGAAATGTAAAAGCGAAAGAGGGGGTTAAAAAAATGTTTTTAAAAGCCTCTGACGATCCCAGCTGAGTTGCCTGATCAGCAGAGGTTTTTTTTCTTTTAAAAACATTTTTTCTACAACCTTTTCAGCTGAAGAGGTTGTAAAAAAATGTTTTTAAAAGCCTCTGACGATCCCAGCTGAGCCACACGATCATCAGAGGCTTTTTTTTTACTTTTAAAAGCATTTTTTTGGCCGATTGCGTGGCTCAGCTGGGCATGGGGGGGATGGCAGGGATTTTTGCTGCCGGTTCTCTGAACCACCCGCCTCCATCGCTACTGGATCGGGCGATCCGATCCAAACCAGGAGCATTTCACTCCTGGGTCAAGGTCATTGGGAAGTGAACTGCTGGTAGAGGGTTTGCAAGGGTTGATTGAGAATCAGTGCTATCTCTGGTTGGCTGTGTGGTTTATTTGGATTCTGTGGGGTTCATAGGCTGATTGTACATCAAGAGCAGTGTTTCCCAAACTTGACCCTTTGAAGATGTATGGACTTCAATACCCAGAATTCCTCAACCAATATGCCTGGTTGAGGAATTCTGGGAGTTGAAGTCCATACATCTTCAAAGGGTCAAGTTTGGGAAACACTGATCAAGAGCATAGCGGATGGTAGCGTGGCCGATGATATTTGTGTTGCTCCAATCGAACTGGTGCTGTTTGTTGTTGGCCATGCTACCATTTACCATGCTCATGAGTTCATCAAAGCCTGACACTCCACAAGCAATTCCATCAACAGACACATTGGAGCAGCGGGGAACTACCAGAGGACTGGAAAAGAGCTGATATGGTTCCCATCTTCAAAAAAGGGGAAAAAACAGACCCAGAAAACTACTGATCAATCAGCCTAACCTCAATACACGGGAAGATACTGGAAAAGATAATTAAAAAACAGATCTGCCGGGGACTTCCGGTTTGCTGTTTGTCGCCGCCAGACGCTCCTTCGGGATCGTCAAACCCACTGCCTGTAAGAGCCGCCTTTACAGCGGAATGGCGGCTCAAAAAAACTCCGTTTCCATGAGGAAACGGAGATAGAGCCGGCTGGGGTGGGTAGAGCTCTCTGCCTAATCCCAAAAGTTTTTTATTTACTTTTGGGACGGAGCGGAAGAGACTCCCCATATCCCCAGCCGATGCTCCGGGCTTTGGGAGATCTCTGCTACATGCAGAACTAGGTGGCAAAAGCAAGCCTGCTAACTTGATAAATTAATTAAAGAAGACGTGAGCTGGACCTCTGATCCTGAAGCGCAAGTATTTTACTTATTTTATAAAAGTTACTGAAGCTACTTAAGAAGGAAAGGAAAAAAGATTTTTAAAATGGCGACTGCCGCGGCTTGAAGAGAGGCTGAAAGGGAAAGTCCTTCCGTTTTCTATTACAAAGTAGCGGAATGAATACTTCTGGTTGCAACTGAAGGCAAAACCTCACTCTCGTGTTCCCTTTTTTGTTTTTTGTTTTTTTCTTCTTCTCCTGGAGATCTGATATTGATCTTGGTTGGGAAAAAAAAGTTTTTTTTTTCTTTTCCAGTAAATCTTGTCTGGGTGGAAAAATGGCACTGAGACTTATAAAGTTAGACAAACAGGCAGTGGGGGATTCCCCCATTAACAAATTACATGAACAAGTTCTAACTCTCCAGTCTCAGAAACCTGATTTTAATATAATAGAATTTTTCCTAGAGGAGATTGTAAGAAGGGATGAGATTGTGAATCAGCAACTTGAAAAATTTAAGCAGGAAATTAAAGAAATTGGTGAATTGGTGAAATCTAAGTTTGACTTTTTGGATCGAAAGATTTTAAAAACGGCTAATGGTTTAGCAGACTTTATGATTCAGTTGGATGCAAATACTAAATTATTAGAGTCTAAAATGAAAGAAACTGAGGATAATTTGGATGATAAGATCCAAAAAATTAAAAAGGATTTGATAAACATTCAGGATAATAGTTTAGAAGACAAACCCAAAATGGAGGCTGATCAAAAGACTGGTAATGAAGAAAATGTACAACAGAGGATTGAAAGAGAAGTTTTAATGATCCAACATAATTTTACAGAATATGCAATTAGACTGAGAGGTCTGCAGGAAAATAACAGAGATGACTTAAGGAAAATATCTTCTGAGATTCTGGCTGGGATTTTAAAGGTTCAACCTGATGAAGTGTTTTGCAGAATTGACAGAATTTATAGAATAAACTCCTGGTTTGCAAAGCAAAGGCAATTGCCTAGAGATGTGGTGATTTATTTTACGGATAAAGAAATTAGGAATAATATTGTGCAGAATTCCTTTAACTCTACTTTGCAATTTTGTGGAAGAAAGATTTGGATTTTTAAAGAGCTCCCGCCTAAGATGTTAACGGAGAGGAAGAAATTTGGTTTTCTAGTGACTGAGTTAAAAAAAAGAAATATCCTATTTAGGTGGGATGTTCCAATTGGTTTAATATTGAGATATCAAGGAGAAAGATACCAACTGAATACTGTTGAAAAAGCGGGAGAATTTTATCAAAAAATTTTGAAAATGAATTTAACATCTTTAGGCATAATACAGGACAAGCAAAAGGAGTTGGAAACAAAGGGAAAATATCAAATTACAGAGGCTGTGGTAGATAAATTGTCTTTGGATTCCCTGGATACCCCAGCTGGATTGTCTATAAATATGAGAGCAGTGTCATCCGATTCCAACGTGATGAATTATCAAGTCACAGACAAGTACGTAAACCAACCAGTTGACATACAAGTGATAGAAAAGAAATATGAGATATCAAAACAAAACCAACAAGATCAATTTATAAAACAGAATGAAAATCGAACAGTTGATACACAACTTGTAGAAAGGAAACCAGGATGGAAATTAAACCCACAAAAGAAAAAGGAAAAAAGAAACAGATCTCATAAAAATAGTAGTTTCTAAATCAAGCAACAGTGAAGCCAGGGACTTTAAAAAAAGAATGAATATGTGAAAAGATAGTGGAGGCGAACTATTGCTTAATATCATCTTGAGGATAGTGGCAGACCTCTGCAATGCCGTGATTTTGGGATGTGAAAAGAGCCTTACATTGTTGGATTTGAATCATCTACTTTGGATTTCTTTTACCGATAAATATATTATAACTATTTCGAGTTACAAGGCAAGAGAGTCACGCTGGGGCATGCAGAAGATCTGGTTGTTACCCACTAGGATGATGGGAATTAATAATCCTGATGAAAGCCACAATTACAACTATATGGAATATAATTATAATGTCACTCGGGTGGTTGTTTTTACTTTTATATATATATGAGGATATTCATTACTGATGGGGGCAGAAGATGATTGAGGATTTTGAACAAACTGTTGCACCAGGATGCTATGTTACCCTATTATGGACGAAGGATTTAACAATCCAGTGGAAAGATATTACAGAAGATATTATATGGATTATAAACTTAAAGTCATTGTCTTTTTTCTTTTTATATAATGGAATGTATACATAGATATATATATATTTTAGTAGAGTGGGCAGTGGATTATATTTAGAATTGTAGTGCATGGTAACTTTGTAGGAAACTGGGTGGAAATAGGTTAGTTTATTGACTGATTAGTTTAAGCAAAGGGATTTTTAAGTGATATATTTAGGGGAGTGGAGGAAATGGATAGAATTGAATAAATGTTAAATTTGGATGTAGGGATAAGGCTGCTTTGAAATGTTATATTAATATATATAAAAGATTAAATGTTAAAGTAGGAAATGTTCTTGTAATAATATATAGATATAGGTTTGGCGGAGGAGAAAAAGGGCAGATTATTGCTAAAATGGGAGTTATAATAATATTATGCTAAGGGTCAGTATTTAGAGGAGGGAGTAAGGGAATGGTAAAATATTATGAAATTAGTTATGAATTAGGTTATTGTTGTGAAGAAGAAGTCACAGGGAGGGGTGGGTGGTGAGGGGGGGTTAGGGAGGAGGGGGGGAAAAAGGGGGAAAAACTTGTATTTGAAAACTTTTTCAATAAAAAAAAAACAAACAGATCTGCCAACATCTAGAAACAAGTAAAGTAATAATTATAGTCAGCATGGGTTTGTTAAAAACAGATCATGCCAAACCAATCTTATTTCATTTTTCAACATAGTGACTAAATTAGATCAGCAAAATTCTGTGGACATAATATACTTAGACTTCACAAAGACATTCGACAAAGTAGACCACAATCTACTTCTTGGTAAGCTAGAAAAAAGTGGGATAGATTAGCGGTGTCAAACTCAAGGCCCGCAGGTCGGATCTGGTGCTAAAATCCAGCCCACAAGGCCAGCCTGGAAATATCAGCCTGTTTTTGGCCTCCCCAGCCTCCAGCAGCACTCTGTTGGCCAAAAACGCAGCCTCCGCATAGCCCATTTTCAGCCTCCCCGGCCTCAAGAAGCATTTTGCCGGCC